CTTTCCAGTCTTGGAGGCTCGTTCCCCAGGCCTCCAACAGATTGGTTTTTCGGGTGCAGTACAGCACTTCTGCAAGGAAACTATCACCAGTGGTGTGCTGTCCCCCCCAAAATATATATTTTTTGCTAAAGTGCGGTACTGCCCCAAAAACAGCAACAACACAGTCTCTTCCAGCCGGTTGGGAGGGGGATAGGGGGGAGGAGCGCGCAGTGCCTAGAAAAGAGCAAAGCCCAAAAAACAACAAAGTTTCTGCAAATGTTTGTATGTAGGAGGACATACAATCAGATTCCAGAAAATTGTGTTTTTTTGTTTTGCTTTTGCGCTTGTCATTTTGCTTGGGGTGTGGCTTTCTGGTTGTCTGTACGTACGAAAACATAGTGCTACTGTTCAAAAGACGACCAATCTTTCTTGGAGTCCTGCAGTCGGGAGCTGGCTCTCAAGACTCGAAAATTTGTTGGTTCATGCTCATGGTGCTGGTCAGGGTGGCGGGCGAACGCGCTGGCTTATGTTCGTGATGCTGCCTGCAGCAGGAAATTTGCAGTAGGAAAATCTGTAATTGGGGGGATACCATATATATATATATGTATATATACATATGCAATCAATATATATATATATATACACACACACACACGTGTGCAGGGGACGGGTCCGGGACTCATCATCCGAACCTGCCAAATTCAGGGTCTGAGTGTCCTGTGAAATATCATTGAATCATGCCGCGAAGTCCCCCTCGGGGTTTAAGGCATTGTTCTTGAACATGCCGGTTAGGGTTGAGTTCAGGGGTTAGGTTTAGGGGTTCAGGGCTGAGTCATTTGGCTAGACTTGAGTCCAGTAGCAAAGAGGGCTTAGGGGTTTAGGGAAGCTGTTCTTCGGATTCTCCTTGTTTCGGATCATCTCTTCGCGGCCGCTTTGCCTTTGAGACCCTTAACCCTAAAATCCGAAGACATCGAGAAGTGTACCAAGTGGGAAAAATCCGAATAAGGGCTCGTCCCTGCAAAGTGGGAGGGAAAAACCCCGAACAAGGTTCAGGATTGTATGGCCTTGGACTTTTGGACTCATTGCCGGTTGTTGAGGTTTACCCCAGAGCTCGGTGTCAGTTGTTTCAGACGCAAGGAGTTAGAACGCACTGGTATTTGTAATAAGACTGCCGATATGGCTTGGTGCCACCAGCCATGAGCTTTAAACTTGAAACCCTACACCGGTCTTGAACCTTCAAGTTTGGATTTGAGCTCAACGGGGCTTCGGATTGACCACAGGCGGCCCTGTTTTGATAGATCTGCCTCTCCTGTAGAATTTAAGGTTTGGCTTCGGAGCGAATGCGCTGTGCGCAGGTCTTCAAGCAGCACGATGACAAGTTTAAAAAGATGTAGGCGACTCGGTGGTCGAGATTTGGGGCATTTGACGGATGCCAAGTCCGCAACCAGGTTGCCACACCCTAAACTCCCAAAGCTTGGAATCTCTACGTCCGAAAGTTAAACGCCCAAATGCAGCAAACCCCTAACCCGCGAATCCGAGAAACCCCAAATCTCGGACACTTATTGCCATGCCTGCATTTACGAGTGTGTGAGTCGAAACCATCCTGAAACACAAGCCTGAGCCTTCGATCCCAAAGCACAAGCAGTCAAGCCCTGAAAGGCCCCAAGGACTGATACTCGGTTCATGTCGGAGTTCCTTCGTACTGTAGTACAAGCCAACAAGGGGTTTAGGGTTTTAATGGAAACCCTTCATCAATTTGAGGAATGGGACTAGACATTGATGCTTTCGAATTGTGGAGCAGAGGGCAGAAGACGCAGCCAAGCCATGTAATATGGGGGCCTAAATAATCAACAACGTTGTTTTGGGGGCTCCTTATTGCAAATATAGTATCATGGGCCCCAAAACCCTATTCTAATTATTAAGCCCCCTACATTAGCCGGCTCGATATGGACAAGCAGGGCAGATGAAAGTTGTTTCTCCTTCATGTGTTGCCAAGGCACTGCCACTCTCGCAACTAGTTGCCATCTTTGTGTGTTGCCTGTTTGCGTGGTTGCATATTTAGAGGGTCATGATGGTGCGAACAACCCGAGCTTGCGAACACGATCAGGTAAGATCGTGAAACTAAACAGGGCAGGTCTAGCTGTAAACCAGAGATTGCATTTGTAGAGGTTCGTTGTTGGCGGCGTTCGGCATCTCAAAGCATACGAACAATTTACCGTCATCCGCTGCCACCGGCTTATCAACAGCTGCAGTTTAACTTCTCTTTAGCTTGTGTAAGACACCCTAGGCCCTAAACCCTAAACCCCTGTAAAGCACGACGCAGGCTGTGTCACCTAGTCCGACCTCAGTTCCGAGTTTTGCTCACCACGGCAACTGCAGATGTTTGGCCAGAAAGCACTCTCATCTAAACCCGATTCGTGCTCTTACATACAGGTACACACACACACACATATATATATATATGTATTTAACGTATGATGTGTACATATATATATATACACACCTTGTATACTATGTAGTGCACATGTATGTGTGTATATATATATATATATGGTCCCCCCGCCCAGTTACCAACAGATTCCTGTATGTTCCCAATGACTTCATGGCCCTCCTCTTCCAGGGGGGCGAGGGTTAGGGTTTAGGAGGATCCGGAGAGCATTCTTTTACAAATGGGATCGGGGCACCATCAACGAATTTTCTTCGCTGGCAGGCAGACAAGCAGGCCGGCACGATATCCGACTGGCCCTTAACCCTGGCAGACTTCACTCCGTGGACTCTCAGCACAGTTATTGCCCCACTTCTGCCGTACTCGATTGAGCATGCGGTCGTTTGGATTGGCAAATCGGAAGTAGGGAAGAGTCCAGCTTCATGCACGCTTTCACACTTGATGTCGGCATTCTTGCTCCTGCAGGAAGATCGTGCTGACGAACTCCCTTGCTTTCAGACAGCCACCTCAGTTTGGACTATTTCCGTAAGGAGCGTGGTCGTCGCAACAAGCCTCGTGTCTTTGAGGGTGGCAATTTCTACCTGGAAACACCAGCGGCTGTCAAGGCTATCACAGAAGTTTCAGGTGTTGACCGCAAGACTATGGCGTGCTACAGTGCCTCCTCCTACGCCCAAAATCAGTTATGCCAAGCTTGCTCCAACACGGACTGGAGAGCCAAAAATGCGACCCGGAATTGGCTCAGACACAGTGTCCTTTGAGGAATTCTACAGGCTCGTACGTCCCTCGTTCCATCGTGATTTTGATGAGGAGGTCTTGCTTGCCGTCTTTAAGCGTTGTCGTATCGTCGTGTTTACCGAGATCGGCATCTACGTCCGCACCCCCGGAACATCACGCGATCCAGTTCCACGACACGCGTGGCCAGAGCGAGATTGCGGTATGGTATCACCTGTGCCAGACCCCTCTTTCAGACCTACAAGCACTGAAGCTCCGCGGGCACTTTTCCTGAACATGCTCAGAAGTCACTCAATTTCTTGCAAGCCGCACTTGACGGAGAAGCTCTGCCGTGGTGTTGTACTATCTTTGGCAAATATCTCGATGGCGAAAAGTATGCCACTGCAAAGCGACCCAAGCTTGCAAGAATTTCTATGGACCCAACGTTCTATCCGGACAAGATCGCGCAACCCCATGAGCCAGCCAAGAAGCTGTTCCGATCCGTGAAATCATCCAGTGCACTCATCAGCCATTGTGCCTCAAAGCCCGAAGGCGCATGAAAGGACATTAAAGAGGACGACGGAAACCAGGAGAAGCAAGAGGAGATTGAAGAGGGTGCATCGTCTGCACGTGCCCATGTCCCCGTTACTTGGTTGTTTTCGCGTTTTTGCTTTTGATTTATTTTCCATTTCATTGTAAGTTCATTCAGGGGTAAGTGCTGGTTTAGTCTCAGACAGGGTCTGGTTGCTATTGCATAACATATAACTTTTCGGTAGTATGCGTTTAAATCTGAACGTTGCAAGACGGTTTTAAAATTTTCATCCTCATATCCTTCAAAGGTCGCGATCAAGCAACGGCCGGTAAAGTTCAAAACAAAGTTTACGGCTTTCAAGAAAGCTTTGAAACGTCGCTCTCTGCAAATTTCGCTTCCCACCCCGCCATCCTCGCCCAAGTCAGCGACGCACGATAGCGCGACTCCGCCAAAGGCAGCCACAGCATCTACGAGCCCACCTCCGAGCACAATGCCGCCATCTCCAAAATCCTCGCCTGTGCCCAACAGCACCGGTGATTCAATGGACGTCGTCGATCCCATGAAAAATCTCTCGCAGAACCTGGAGGCCTTCCTGGATGATGCCTGAGTGTGCAAATGAGTGGTGAGCCACCAGTGACAAGGCCCTCACATTTTGATGTCTGCGGGGGGCAGCGCCTTGACATATGAAGCTTAACACACGTACTGCCCATCGTGATCTTTAACGCGTATCCTTGGATGCTTGAAATCTTGCTTTCTGCTCCAGAAAAATAGGGTTTTTTTGCACTCGCGTAGTGTCCGCACCCGGTAATATCAAAACATATCACATGTCTTACTTTGCATTACGCGCAGCGAGGATTTTGAGTTCAAGTGAAACGTAGTGAAAGGTCGTAATTAGACCTTCCTGTTCGCTTCCGCTACCATGGGGAAGACGCCCAATCACAACATTGTCGCCAAAAAAGGTAAGCTGCGCGAGGTACAGAAGCGACCGGCTGCTGCAAAGTCCTCTTCGTGGAAGTCCGTCAATACGTGCGCGGCAACGTCACTGTAGGATGTCAGGGTCAACGCAAAGAATGGAAACGCACCTTGCCTCAGCTTCTGAAAGCCAACGACCATAAGATTATCAAGATGCTGCTGGCGGACAAGCCTTTGATGGATCTTTCCGGAAAGTTGTGCCCCAGATGTTCAAGTGGGGCTTTTTCCAAGCTCCATATGAGTGGTGGCCCTCACCACCTGAAGCATCGTTGCAACAACTACAAGTGCACAGCCGCCATCACACCCTATCATCTTCACCCTCTCTTCTCAGAATGCGGCCCGCAGAAACAGAGTCTGCAGATGCAGTCCGCCGTGCTCCTCTTAAAGCTTCACAAGCTGCCACAGTCTACCATCCATCTTGTGTTGGACATCAACCACAAGGCCATTAAAGACATGGAAGCTGGTGTTTTCTTAGTACCTACATTTTTGTTTGGTTTGTTTTTGTTTAAGAAGTACATGGTATGATATAGTTCGTTTTTAGCCTGTGAATAAGGCGAACAAGCTTTGTAGATTGCGCAAAGACTTCGTCGAAAAGGCAGAGAAAACGATTGTGTTCGGCAACAAACGCACTTGGGTTGACGTCGAAGCCGACGAGGCTACTTTCGACAAGCGAGACATCTCAAAGGACCCTGATCTCAAGCACCTGATCTCCAAGCCAAAGAACACCATTCTATGGGAGCAATGGGCTGGAATCGTGCAGCGCGGCTAGCCTCGCACACTCATCCTCTGCAAGCTGAACCCCGAGCTCACACCCACAAGCGCACCGGGCCCAGGAGCAATTCGGAAGATCGAGTGGAAGAGCATCGCTCACGAAAGACTTCGGGACCGTAAAGTTGTTCTCCACACCGATTTTGCAAAAAATTATAAGCAAAAGGTTGACGGGGTGATCCATGACAGAGTCATTCACTGCAAGAAGCGCATCACAATCAACGGCAAGTACCAGTGGACGAGTCCGAAGTATGTCACCATGGTAACCCACAAAGTGCCAGGCAGCAACAAAAAGTTGAAGGTCAAATCATGCACTCAAATCATTGACCGAGCCTGGAGGTTTTTGAAAGACAGCGTTGCCATCAACAAGAATGTCAAAGCAGGTTCCAGCCTGTTGCGGGCGAAATTGCGGTCCGCACAATACGACTATTGGTTTCAAAAATTCCGATCTTTGGCTGGCGAGCGGATATCTTTGTACAGAGGCCCTCAAAACAAATATGCATAAGCCGTCGCAGAAGCAGGCCACGCATCACTGGGAACGTACATACGTGTGCATACGTTCTCCTCGTATGCTGGGGCCTGACCGGTTGGCTCTTGCAACGCCGCGAACTCTCCGTGGCAGCCTCTGACGGCACAAGACCTGTCCGACCCACTCTGAGCCCCCGCCTCAAAGTGAAGGGCATGGCTCGGTCTCTGAGGGGTGGGAGAGGCTCCCGTCGATTGAGCGGGAGCCCTCTGAGCCGGCACCGCCCGAAGCGGCCTGAATCTCTCCGGCCAAGAAAGACGCCTTGCTCTGGGGGATGCTTTGCTTTTACTTTTCTCTTCTCCCTTTCTGTTCAAAAGTCTCTTGAGCAGCCTTGAGCTTGTCTTGTGCAGTCGCAGCAAGGCTTTTTTGAGCAACCACTCTGAAAAAGGCAGAACTGAAGTCTGTTCTCCTCTCAACCTTACCAGAAGCTGGTTTCAGCCTCGCTCTGACCGCGTTAAGTCCTTTAGAAAGGCCTCGCCTCTCCATTGCAATGGCAATGGAGATCTCTTCGGAGGAGGAAGCGGCACCGGCTGCCGTCGGCTCTTCCCTCGGTCTTGCAGGAGCTGTCGTGGCCTCTGAGTCTAGCTCTTCGGCGGACAAGGCACGTTTGGAAATCAAAGACTTTGCTCCTACAGCTTGCTGTCCTGTTGAATCCAAAGCTTTCCCAAAAAAGGGCTTGGCTTCTAAAGCTTGCTGTCCTTTGAATCCAAAGCTTTCCCAAAGAAGGGCTTGGCTT